CATGGTGGTGCACGCCTGTAGTTCCAACTACTTGGAAGGCTGAGGCAGAAGGATCGTCTGAGCCTAGCAGGTTGAGGCTGTGGTGGCTGTGAGCGTGCCACTGCATTCCAGCCTAGGTGACAGAAAAAAAACATGAAAGGCAGCCGACATACCTGAGCAACCCTGAATGGATTATCCCTTAAAGTTGAAGGGCTCTGTAAGGGTGACTGGTCTGAAACACCAATAACGTTTATTCCTTTTTTCTTTTCCCTGAGGCATGCTTGTTGATGTCTCCTTATTCTTTCCATTTGCTCTTCCACAGTCATCCTAGGTCGAGTACTTTCAGCTAAACAAAGCTGTTCCACTGCACTTCTTGGTCTTTCCTTCAAATTAAAAATAAACATATAGATATATAGATATAGAATAACTTCTGTAAACTATAACAGAATAATGTAAGATGCATTTATTTTGTTTTCAAAATCACAAGTGGAGACTTTGAATGCCATTTAGATAACATCAGAAAGGCAAATCAAATCAAATTATTTTATCCTTAACTTGTAATTGATAATGCATGGTCAATGATAGAAAGAAAGACATGCTGGGTGCAGTGGCTGATATCTGAAATCCCAGCATTTTCGGAGGCCATGACGGAAGGACTGCTGGAGCCCAGGAGATCGAGACCAGCCTAGGCAACATATCGAGACCCCAACTCAACAAAAAAATTTAAAAATCAGCCAAGGTGTGGTGGTGCACAGCTGTAGTTGGGAAGCTGAGGTGGGAGGGTCACCTAAGTCCAGGAGTTGGAGGCTGTGGTGAGCTGTGATCAGACATTGCACTCCTGCCTGGGTGACAGTGAGACCTTGACAAAAAATAAAACAAAAGAAAAAACAAAGAAGGAATATATATAAAGGAGGAGAGGAAGAGAAGAGAAGCAAACATAGGGAAAGCATTTTTTTGGTTAAAAAATAACAAAGAAGTTCAATTTCAATGAGCCTGGGTAAAAACCAAACAAAACAAACTACAACAAAACTCATAAAAGGTTATGGCAGTTCTGGAGTAAGCCTATCCCATGATCCTGAAACAGAAAAGTGCATAAAACTCAAACTAAGAGAAAAAGGGGGAGGGCACAGTATTTAAATATTAGACATTTCTTGGGCTGGGCATGGTGGTTCAGGCCTCCCAGCATGTTAGGAGGCAAGGTGGGAGGACTGCTTAAGTCCAGGAGTTCGTGATCAGCCTGGGCAACATAATGAGACTTCGTCTGTACAAAAAATAAAAGAATTAGTAGATATGGACGCTACTTGGGTGGCTGAAGGAGAAGGATCACATGAGCTCAGGTAGTCAGGGATGAAGTAAGCTGTGATTATACTCCCACACTCCAGCCTGGGTGGTGACAGAGACCACCCCCAATCAAAAGAAAGAAAGAAAGAAAAATAAATGTATTTATTTATTTAATATTTATTTATTTTTGAGTTGGGAGTTTCGCTCTGTCATCCAGACTGGAGTGCAGTGGCTGTTCCCGGCCACCGCAGCCTCGACCTGCTGGACTCCGGCGATCCTGCCGCCTCAGCCTTCCAAGTAGCTGGGACTACAAGTACGCACTACCACGTCCAGCTAATTTTTGATTTGTTGTAGAGATGAGGTCTCACCAAATTGCCCGGGCGGGTCTCGAACCCACGGGCTCAGGCAATCCACTCACCTCGGCCTCCCAAAGTGCTGGGATTACAGGCTGAGCCACCGAGCCTGGCCAATTTTTATTTATTTGTTGTAGAGACGACGTCTCGCCTTGTTGCCCAGGCTGGTGTCAAACCCCTAGGCTCAGGTGATTCTTTTGCCTTGGCCTCCCAAAGTGTTGGGAAGACACATGTGAGCCACTGTGCCTGGCCAGAAATTTATTTTATTTTAATAAAAATGCAATGTCTTAAGTCACAAATTTACTGTAAGTAAACTAGCAGAGGAAATACCTTTAGATATTTCATTATCAGTAATGAAACTACAAAAATAAATATTTTCTATGATTTAGCCTGTCACAGTTGAAGACTTTTATATATATGCATGTACCTACCTATACACATATATACATATATACATACGTACACACATATATGTATGCGGTTGACCCTTGAGTAACATGGGTTTAAGCTGTATAGATCTACTTATACAGGACTTTTTTCTTTTCTTTTGAGTTGGAGCCTCACTCTGTCACCCAGACTAGAGTGCAGTGGCCGCTCCTGGCCACCGCAACCTCGACCTGCTGGGCTCCGGCGATCCTTCCGCCTCAGCCTTCCGAGTAGCTGGAACTACAGGCGCGCGCTACCACACCAGGCTAATTTTAAAAATTTATTGTAGAGATGAGGTCTCGCCAAATTGCCCAGGCGGGTCTCGAACCCGTGGGCTCAGGCAATCCACTCACCTTGGCCTCCCAAGGCGCGGGATTACAGGCTGAGCCACCGAGCCCGGCTAGGACTTTTTTCAATAAAAGTTACACTGAGTGTGCCTCCCCCCAACCTCTTCTACCTCTTCTGCATCTGTCACCTGAGCCAGGAAGATAATCCCAGCTCTTCCTCCTCTACTTTCTTAGCCCACTCAGTGTGAAGACCATGAGGATGAAGACCTTTATGAAGATCCATTTCAACTGAATGAATGGTAAATATATTTTCTCTTCCTTATGATTTTCTTTTTTTAAAAATATAATTTATAACTTATTATTATTATTTTTTAAAGGGACGAGGTCTTATTAGGCTGCCCAGGCTGGTCTCTAATGTCTGGGGTCAGGCAATCCTCTTGCCTTAGCCTCCCAAAGTGTTAAGATTACACGTGTGAGCCATTGCACCTGGCCCATTATGATTTTTTAGTAAAGTTCTTTTTCTATAGGTTGCCCTTTGTATAAATACAGTATATATTAAGTATGAGTTCATTGACTGCTCATGTTACCAGAAGGCTTCCATTCAGTAGTATACTACTAGCAGTTAAGTTTTGGGGGTGAGTCATAAGATATACTCGGGTTTTCGATTGCATAGGGGGTTGGCACCCCTAACACCTATACTATTCAAGGGTCAACTATCTATATATCTAGCTCATTTTAATGGTTACCCCAACATGTTTCCACTTAATTTTATATAAACTGAAGGGTTTAAAAATATTAGTCACATTAAACAACCAATTCTCATTTCTTACTTTTTCCTAAAGTTTTAAAACAATATTGGTCTAAGATTTCAAACAGTACTCTAAGAATTAGTCATGTTGGCTAGGTGTGGTGGCACATGCCTGTAATCCCAGCACTTTAGGAGGCTGAGGCTAGAGGACTGCCTGAGCTCACGGGTTCAAGATCAGCCTGGGCAACTTGGCGAGACCTCATCTCTACAATAAATCAAAAGAAAAAAAAAATTAGCCGGGCGAAGTGGCATGTGCCTGTAGTTCCAGTTACTTGGACTGCTGAGGTGGTAGGATTGCCTGAGCCCAGCAAGTTGAGACTGCGGTGGCCGGGAGCATGACACTGCCCTCCAGCCTGGGCAACAAAGTGAGACTCCAACTCAAAAAAAAAGAATGAGTCATGTTAGAGATAAAGAGGACAAGTGGATCCAGATCTTCAATTTTCATGGAGAAAGGAAACACGATAATGCTCTCTGCAGGAATCTGCCACCGCTTCACAGTGGATGAGAACTACACAAAGGCCATGTGACTGTGAGAGATCCAGTGTGGACGGTGTACAACTGGCCAGCTGACCATTTCGAGGCCCGAGGACAGTACCTGAAGTTTCAGAAACAGCACAGCAGCTGGGAACTAGCATGTACCTTGTAGGGGTCCTACAAATAGTAACCAAGCAGAACATCAATCATTTTCTCTTGGCTTTTGTAGGGTAGATCTGAGGCTAGGTAACCTTTCCTTCTGATGTTATTTGATCAGACAATTGTTTTTTTGAGTTGGAGTCTCACTCTGTCGCCCAGACTGGAGTGCAGTGGCCGCTCCCGGCCACCGCAGCCTCGACCTGCTGGGCTCCAGCGATCCTTCTGCCTCAGTCTTCCAAGTAGCTGGAACTACAGGCGTGTGCTACCACACCTGGCTAATTTTTTGATTTACTGTAGAGATGAGGTCTCGCCAAGTTGTCCAGGCGGGTCTTGAACCCGCAGGCTCAGGCAATCCACTCACCTCGGCCTCCCAAAGCGCGGGATTATAGGTTGAGCCACCGAGCCCAACGAGCTTTGGAATTTTAACAAGAGAATTTGCACACTATTTTTCTACATAACAGTTCTGTTATACATTTGTCTAATTTGTTATAATCACAGAAAAATCCCAAATCAACCTCATGTTTTAGATGGGCAGGTTGTTCTCCTTTTTTTTTTTTTCTTCTGATTTACAAACCATTGTGTCGAGGACTAACTTTCATGGGCAGGTTGTTTTCTAAGTTTTAAAAAAAATCTTCACATTGAAATTAATCTTTCATCATTTGTACATTTTTGTTTCCCACTGCACAGAGGAAACTCAAGCCTTAGATGTTTAAGTAAACCCTGTCTCAATTTTAGGATTAAAATATATGCAGGCAGCATGATAATAACATAAATATCCAGGGCTTTTTTCTGTCAAGTATTATTCTATTTCAATTATTAAACAATGTTGATCTACTGATTTTTTTGTTGTCTTATATATTCATTTTTAAATGGTCATTATAAATGGAACTTGTAGCCGGGCTCGGTGGCTCAGCCTGTAATCCCGCGCCTTTGGGAGGCTGAGGTGAGTGGATTGCCTGAGCCGGCGGGTTCGATACCCGCCTGGGCAGCGAGACCTCATCTCTACAATAAATCAAAAAATTAGCCGGGCGTGGTAGCGCATGCCTGTAATTCCGGCTACTGGGAAGGCTGAGGCGGAAGGATCGCCAGAGCCCAGCAGGTGAGGCTGCGGTGGCCGGGAGCGGCCACTGCACTCCAGTCTGGGCGACTGAGTGAGACTCCAACTCAAAAAAAAAAAAAAAAAAAAAAAAAAATAAATGGAACTTGTTCACTTTTAAGAATTAAACAGCTCTTTCCGCCATCTTTCCGTGCCACCGTGGTGCACATGAATGTCCTGGCTGATGCTCTCAAGAGCATCAACAAAGCCGAAAAGGGAGGCAAATGCCAGGTTCTTATCAGGCCGTGCTCCAAAGTCATCATCTGGTTTCTAACTGTGATGATGAAGCATGGTTACATTGGCGAATTTGAAATCACTGATGATCACAGAGCTGGAAAAATTGTTGTGAACCTCATAGGCAGGTTAAACAAGTGTGGTGTGATCAGCCCCAGACTTGATGTGCAACTCAAAGATCTAGAAAAGTGGCAGAATAACCTGCTTCCATCCCACCAGTTTGGTTTCATTGTACTGACAACCTCAGCTGGCATCATGGACCACGAAGAAGCAAGAAGGAAACACACAGGAGGGAAAATCCTAGGATTCTTTTTCTAGGGATGTAATGCATATGTACAAATAAAAAGCCTCAGTAGAAAAAAAAAAAAGAATTAAACAAGGCCAGGCATGCCTATAATCCCAGCACTTTGGGAAGCAGAGGTGAGAGGACTGCCTGAGCTCACAGGGTCGAGACCAGCCTGGGCAACTTGGTGAGACCTATCTCTACAATTAAAAAAAAAAATTAGCTGGGCATGGTGGCACAGGACTGTAGTTTCAGCTACTTGGAAGGCTGAGACAGAAGGATCACCTGAGACCAGCAGGTCGAGGATGCAGTGGCCGTGAGTGTGTCATTGCAGTCCAGCCTAGGTGACAGAGTGAGTCTCCAACTCAAAAATAAATAAATAAATAAGTAAATAAATAAAACATTAAAGAGATGATTACTTAAAAAAAAAGAATTAGTCATAAGCAAATATTAGCTTATTTTATACAATATACATCTTAAAGATCAAACTTTCTAGAATCTATAGAACAGAATCCATAGGTTTCTTTGTATCCTCTGGTCTGAGTTGACAGCAACTGACTGAGATTGTAATAGACATTACCAAGAGTTTCTGAAAGAACCCAGGGCAGAGGTAACTATTTCTGTGACCAAGCAGTATGTTTGGTTAATTGCTAAGATCCTTTTCCACTGGAATCTGACAAATGTCTGTGGGCCAGGAGCTACAGGTTTTAGACTATTTTCTTTTCTTTTTTTTTTATGAGTTGGAGTCTCACTCTGTCATCTAGGCTGGAGTGCAGTGACACACTCACGGCCACCCCAGCATTGACCTGTTGGGTTCTGGCGATCTTTCTGTCTCATCCGTCCAAGTAGCCAGAACTACAGGTACACGCCAAGCTAATTTTTTATTTATTGTAGAGACGAGGTCTCACCAAGCTGCCCAGGCTGTTCTTGAGCCCGTGGGCTCAGGCAATCCACATACCTCGGTCTCCCAAAGTGCTGGGATTACAGGCTGAGCCACCGAGTTTAGCCTTGACTATTTTCTATAATACAGAATGAAATTCTAAAGGGCCCAAGTAGAAACTAAAAGGAAAAGGAAAAGCCTAAAAGTCAAAGTATTTTTATGCTTATGCAAAAATGTTGTCACACTGCAATTTCCTTTTCCAAGTTACCATATTATACACAACTACTTTATTTATTGATTTATTTATTTTTTGAGTTGGAGTCTTACTCTGTCGCCCAGACTGGAGTGCAGTGGCCGCTCCCGGCCACCGCAGCCTCGACATGCTGGGCTCTGGCGATCCTTCCGCCTCAGTCTTCCAAGTAGCTGGAATTACAGGCATGCGCTACCACGCCCGGCCGATTTTTGATTTATTGTAGAGATGAGGTCTCGCCAGGTTGCCCAGACAACTCGAACCCATGGGCTCAGGCAATCCACTCACCTCGGCCTCCCAAAGCGCTGAGATTACAGGCTGAACCACTGAGCCCGGCTTACTTTATTCTTTTAAAAGACTTTTGTTGTTGTTATTATTAGAGACAGGGCCTTACTCTGTCACCCAGGCTGGAGTGCAGTGGCATGATCATAGCTCATTGCACCCTCAAACTTCTGGACTTAAGCAATCCTCCTGCTTCAGCCGCCCTAGTAGCTAGGACTACTGGTGTGTGCCACCACTCACGGCTAATTCTTTTGTTTTTGGTTTTGTGTAGACACAGTCTCACTATGTTGCTCAGGCTAGTCTTGAACTCCTGGCCTCCGGTGACCCTCCCACCTCAGCATTTTATAAATTATTATCGAGGCTGAACAATTTTCATGTTTGTGGAAAAACAAAACTCACTAATTTACAGATACTCCTCATATATTATGGAGCTTGTTTGTTGTATACATGGCAAGTATTTTTTTCTGTCATTGGTATCACTTATAAAACCTCCCAGTATTTTTCTGTTTGATCGCAACATATACTTTTTTAGTCATTTTTCATTGATTTGTTATTTTAGCATTACGATTTTCTTTTCTTTCTTTTTTTTTTGTTTTTTTTGTTTTTTGTTTTTTGAGTTGGACTCTCACTCTGTCGCCCAGACTGGAGTGCAGTGGCCGCTCTCGGCC